CACTCAAAACTACAGAAAAATGCTTCTAGAAGCTTGGCACGGTCGTCCGTGTCACCTGACACAGGCCGTGTCAGGGAGAAAACAAGACAAATGACAGGACAGGGTCTTGACATGGGTGCCCATGTCACAGGACACGGCCCGTGTCCCTCTTTCTGGGATAAAAACTTGACAAAGTGACAGGTCAAGGTTCTGACACGGGTGCCTGTGTCACAGGACACGGCCCGTGTCTCTCTTACTGGGATTAAAAACATGACAAAGTGGCAGTACATGGTTCTGACACGAGTTCTCGTGTCACAGGACACGGCCTGTGTCAGCTCAGTTGGGACAAAAAAAGACATGCATGGATTTTTACAGGGGTTCTGTCACGGGACACAGCCTGTGTCAGCCTAAACACCAGAAATCTTGATTTTTGAGACTTTTTGCTATTATTTTTGTTTAATTTGATTATAATAGTAATTAGGTTTTTAATTGCTTTCATCCCCATTTATAATTTGTATCCATCCCCTAAATGATGTAATAGCGTAGGATTTTAATTCACGCAATTTATCGCTTTTAATATAATTGTTAGTAATTAGGGTGTGTATGGAAAGATAAAATTAATCTTAGAGAACTCTAATTCAAGATAAATAAAGCATAAAAAAAACACTTTGCACACTTGCACCTCTAGGATTAACATCACTTGTTGCCTAAATAAATAAACAGTTGTGTCCCTCGAACGTGGGATACTTTAGCAAAAACTCTCGAATACAAGATCGTAGTCCCTCGATGACCCTTCGATGTTGCCTTTTTTAAATAATCTTAGACCTTTACGACAAATTGCTAAGGTATCCTACAATGTTGCCTTCTATAATTGTACGACGACTCACGGCCGTCCCTTCACATCCAATGATAGGGCTTCTTATCAATCAATGGTAAGATAGAAATGTCTAAAGGAGGAGGAAATGAACAAATACTTTTTGAGTAGGTAGAACGTTCATAGTTGCTTACTCACAACCATTTTCAAACATCTTTCAAACACACCAACACTTTTCCATGAAATATTTTCAAAAGTCAACACTTTATATGCATTCTTATAGAGACGAGAATCATTACAAAGTTCGACTAAACAAAGGCACTTTTCAAAAATACTTTCAAAAACATCACAAACACATTTCAAACAAAGTATTTCAAAGTGAGCTAGAAACTAAGAGCCCGTAGATAACTACGAATGAAAAGGGTGCTAACACCTTCCCTTTTCATAACCTACCCCCCGAACTCAAGAAAAATCTCATAAGGTCTTTCATGTTCTTTTCACCCTCTCCTTTATTAGATAAAAGAAAAGTCGGTGGTGACTCTTGCTATCTGCAACAATTACGATAAAATGTAAAACACCCAAGTCAGTTATCCCACCGTATTACACAATGCATAAAACATAAAAGAATAAACTAAAACACTTGACAAAATAAAAAAACTATAACTAAAATCAATTGTAAATAAAGATGGAAAAACCACTGATCATTAACCCGACCTTAATTTGAGTATACTTAAGACATACTTACTTACCAGTTGGTTCATCAAGTCGTCAATCCTTTGAAGTGGATATTTAATCTCAATCATTACCTTAATCAACTGTCGATAATCCACACACAATCTCGTACTACCTTCTTCTTCTTAACTAATAACATCAGAGTTCCCCAGGTGATACACTTGGTCTCACAAGTTTTCTTTCCAACAAATATCCTAATTGTTTCTTCAATTCACCCCACTTTGAAGCCTACATTTTGTATGGTGCCATAGAAACAGTTCTGGTACAAAGGAAAAGGTCAAAAGCAAGTTCCACTCCTCATCAAACATCACCACGTGACAATTAAATTAGTTCCAGGTACTGGAACCATTTTTAACATGAAGTTCATTACGTTAGCTTTCTAACAGATTGAATGGGGCTCAAAACGGATGTCCAGAACTTAAGTTACAAATTTTACAAGTTTTGAAAAAGTCTGCCTGTTTTAGGAAATCGATTACCTCCAAACTTGAAATCGGTTTCCTCAACTTCAATAGCTACGTTTGGCAATTTTTGTGCGGGAAATTGATTTCCTCCAAACTGGAAATCGATTTCCTCCAAACTGGAAATCGATTTCCTCAACATGATAGTGAAAAATTCTACCATTTTTTGCCAATACGAAAACCAATCCTTTCACGCCTCTATTTTATAGAGTAATCGGTTACTCCACTGCAAAATTAGTTTTTTCTGCTTTTCCTATTCTGAAGAATCACTTTTCTTATCATTCCAAAACCCCATTCTTCTTATAATTCGAAGGACACATTCATTTTCCAAAAATTGAGTTTTCAAAACACCAAAACTCCAATTCTTTTCACAAAACTACTCTTACCTTTGAGTTCCGACTCTAACACGCAATTCACAATCACCCAACAACCTTAACAACATTTTACAATTACTTACTTGACTCTAACAACATAATTTACATCAATTCATTACTATATCGCCACTCAAAACATCGACATCACACTCAATGGTACTCAACACTGACACTTTCTCAGTCTGTGTGCAGTGCTGAAAACATTGCAACTATCTGAGTTCCATCTTCTAAGAGTTATCTTACTTGTTTAGTAGATATCTTCACGAAAACATCACAAATTTACACACCACTGATATATCACTAGTCGTCACATTGCTCTATATATCCTTAGAAGCAACCCATAAAAGATACTTGATCGTTCTCCCTCAGAGACGTCTCAAATTGTCCAACATACCGGAACCTTGAATTTGCAACATCTTCAGTCATAAGAAAATTTGCATCGACTCATCAAAACAATCCATAATTTCAAAATTTGGAGAACAACACAATCTTGCCAACATTTGTACTCGTGCAATCACGGACACACTGAACCCACCATTCACAACTCGTAACCAAAACATTTCAGAGAAGCAACAATATCTCCCCCACTTATTTAAATCTCCTTCCTTCAAACAAGTGATTAGGAAAACAAGAAAGCACCTACAGTGTTTTACACACATGTTTCATACTAAGGAATAATACATCGATAGTAATCAACTGCCACACTACAATACAGACTCGATAACTTGTCCAGACCGACTGACCTGCTCTGATACCACTGATGTAACACTCTAATTTAACCTGGTAATTAATTAAATAAATCATAGAAAAATTAAAACAATTTATCCAATTAGGATGTCACCGTTATCCATCATACATGCTCGTGGAATAAGATACGCAACACAAATTCACATATTCATTAGCCTTAAACTTCATTGCATTTATTCACAATAGAAAACATCAATAACAATTATTTTCAAATCTTCAACATGAGTGATAAACATCATCTTTCAAAAATTCAACATAAAAAAACAACACTTATATCCAACAAATGGAGTCCCACGAGAGTTTGTATATTATTGATAACTTATCCTAATGATCATATTTAGTGTATAGATACACAAACTTAAACTTGTTGCGAGTATATTTTAGGAACACACATATACTCATGGTCCAATAAGTTTTAAGAGGTATATTTTTTCTATATCTACAATTTTATTGGTTGTCGCTATAAGAAAGTGTTGATATACGACAATTTCTTATAGTGCCATCAACAAGACTTAAGACTATTTCATTATGAAAATGATAATCTCGCCTGTTGTTGAACCATGTTTGTTAAGTCATCCTAAATTGTGCAAGGAATCGTGGCTAGCTCGCTACCATGTTTGACATGTGTACGATCTCACCCAACCTTCTTTTAGTCCTCTTTATCCCATATAAGAGATGATGGCTTATGGTTCAAAAATATTGATACTTAATTGGCTTGGATCATAATATAATAATCCACAACCTCTGAAACACAAGGCTTGTAAGACCTAAATTGTTAAAGGAGATACATAACAATCCATACTCCCTTAAGCAAGAGGTTTGTAAAGGAAAAATAGGTCAAGGAAAGACATAGCGGTATGTAGTTGTAACACCCCGTTTTTAATTTAAATTATTTCAATTAAGTAATTATTTGATGTGGTATTCTTGGTGTATTTTAATGAACGTTGGGATGTGTTGTTGTGCTTTGATGAGAGGTGATTGCCTTAGAAATTATGGAAGTTAAGCATTTGGGGTGCATAACTGAAAATGCAGAGGCATGAAGGTGTAGTGAGAGAACTAGTAATTATTTTAATTATTATTATTAGTAATAGAATAATAGAATAATTATTATATTTATTTAAATAGTTATTTAATTAGAGAAGGGCAAAGTTGGAATTATGATCTAGAGGTCTAAGGGTTATTAGTGGAATAACATAGAAGTGAGAAGTTAGAAAGAATCAAAACGTGAAAACACATAACGATCGTAGAAGAGGAGAAAAGGGCACTAGGAGGCTAGAGCCACGGATTTCATTGTAAGAGTCGAGAATCGTCAATATAAGGTAAGGGTGAGATTCTAACTCTATAACGGGTTTCATAATGATGGAGAATGGTAGTGATTAGGTTCCATGATTGTATGTTCTTGATTTATCATTATTTTGCTTTGTGGGGTTTCATATTTGTGATGGATTGTTGATGCATTTGTCATTACAAGCTTATCATGGCACTTCTCCCAGGAGTTAGGTTCTTTTATGGAGCTTTTAAAACACCAGTTGCAGTAGGAAGAGACCCCCTGACCCAGGGGAAAACATCTGTCCTTATCGCTTTATAGTGCCACAAGAAGTGACAGAGGTAGAGGGAGAGGTCAATTCTCACTAAATGTTCCTCTAGTAAGGCACCATCACCAGCGCACATGAGAAAAGGCCAAGGATAAGGTGAGAGGAAGGTTCAAACACCAGGCTACACGGCCCTAAACTCAAGCAATGATTTATTGTAGCTATTGAGTTTAGTACACCGTACTCAAACCTATACCCACTCTCATACCCTACGGTAAGTGAAAGGAAGCAGTACATTCCACTTTTTAGGGAGGAGCTGAAATATAGACCTTCCTCTTGAAATATGGGGTGAAGTATTGGGGAGTTACACAGCCACTGTTGGTCTTATATCCCTACCATCAAGACCAACAGATGCGGATTCAATAGCATCGGCGAGAGAGAGAATTCCTATTGAGTTAGCTTTCCTGGGGAAGAGGATATTCTATAAAGGCTATACCATGACCACCCCATAAGCTACAGCTTCCCCTGCCGGAGTTGTGCTTGGTGGAATTCACGCCTCAAATCATCACTTTCTCACCGACCTTTACCCATGCTAAACGTGTCCCAGTTTACTAACGAACCGGTGACGTAAAGCTTCTATTCTCAATTTATCCTTTCTTCCCCTCTGCAGCCTCACAGTTGTCTTTGATTTTATTGCCCATCGATAAAGGAATGACTCTTGGTGAGCCAATGAGCTCAAATCAAGCTAGAGAACTTCCTGAACCAGATAGTGTGACAGCGGAACTTATTGCTATCTATCAAATCCCAGAGTTTAGTTAAGAACCTCGTAGGCCGGGAATGCCATCAAGAAGCCTTTTCCTCTCGGTGTCAGTGTCAGCCAAGTTAGCATCGGCTTCCCCAAAGCCATAATTTTAAGCTGATGACATTGATGAGTGATCCAACAGTCTTGAGTGGTAGTTCTCAAAGGAGAAGGGATATGAGGTACTAAGTAGCTATGGAATGAAGGCAAACTAAAAGCTTTCTCCCATTCTCCTCCAGGCTCTCCTCTGACCACGAGTGGCGTACTCTGATATGAGTAGATCAGATCAGAGTACCGTGCCAATGTCGTTTAAGACAGCTGAGTTTGACAGACTCTGTACGGGAAGAAGGGAGGGGACACTCATAAAATTATTCTTATTAATCACAGGTATGAGTTTTAGGGCGACGGGCCTACGCCTACTATTAGAAGTGCCCATCCTTCTCTCAGGTATTCTTTCGACCACGTCTAAAAAAAGAAAAAACTTGACCTTTTTAAAGACATCCCTCGAGCTCCGCAGCTTTAACACCGGATGGAAGTACGGTCAGATGAATATAACCAATACTATCTCAGCGACTATAGGTCGGTTGACGGCAAGGAAGGAAGTGAAGTTTTCCCTTATCCTGTATGATTTAGAAAAGTAGGGTTTGTAGGCAAGTCTATTGACTTGTTACCATTTATCTCCGCCATTCAAAGAGAAAGACTCGGCGCATCTCTTCCCTCTTCGAGTCAACCGTTCACTTCCTCTAACGAGCGAGTCAACAAAGTTAACCACTTACTACGTTCTTTCAGAACCTGAGATTCCATGAAATAAAATAATGATCCTCAGGAGCAAGAAGATGCTACCAAGCGACCCCGGGGATCCAGCTCACTATCTGCCATTATCCCTTTCCATTCCTACCCTATTCTCCATTCTTATTAGGCAGTCACCATCACAATCGGAGTTAAGTTCCTCCTTCTCGCAATTAGAATCTAACTCGGAACCGTAAATCTCAACTGGAAGACTATTTGACATGGAAGAGTCACTGCCTAGGCGTACAAAAATATCCTTATTGTGGTATGCTCATATATCATCCTACTGATCTTTTTTCGACAGCACACTGACGGTGATATGCCTTTAACTTTTTGAAATGATACGCCACGACTGGAAAGGGGCTTGCTAAAGCCTATAGGCCTGTGCAGACGTGAGGAATGTATTCTTTCTTTCTCAGGCGGGGCTCTGAAGTTGCCGAAAATCGTCCGCTATTAGATAGATGCGCCTTATCCGGTCTTTGCGGAATAACCGCAGTTGGTGGTTTAGTAAGGGCATTAGGAAAAGGCGTAACTGTTGTTTGAGAGATAACTAGTTACTTTATTACCTAAAGTTCACTTATTTGTAGCCTACCACTAGCTTTTTCTTTTTTGGAGGAAGCTAATCCAAGTCCAATATTATGCTGTAAGGCATCGATTTCCGGCCGATTGCCTTCTACAAAGGTCTCATATTCTTTGACAGATTCTCTATAAAGAGTACGGTACGGATGAGAAGAACAGATAAGGGTCTTGCCCGATCTTCCCTTTACAGGTAGGATATGTGTTCGATAGGAACGTCCTAAAAATGTGGGGCGCATTCCGTTTATATCAGTTAATATGCTGCTGGAGTTGGATTCTTTGAGCTGTTAAACAATAGATACATGGGGTTTTTAATAACGCCAGATCGGCACATCAATAGCAGCAGACGCAGAGGAAGAAATCCTTGCTCTTCGAGCTAAGATGCTGACTTTGCCGTGGAAAGAGTAATGAGAGGAAAGCCTTGACCTTCCCTTGTTCTACCCTTCGAACTCAGAGATTGAAAGGTGATTGAAGAAGATCACTCTATGCAGCGACAGAGGCGAGATCTCTATATGTTGATAGGACTGAGTCCCCCTTTAGAGATAGGGGGAGAGATAAAGCAATCGGCAGGGAGGCATTACTCCCACACGGAAAAAAAAAACGTGCAACCAACCTTTCCTTCCTCCTCTTCTGAGCATGTCTGACTAGTGTAATCAGTCCCTTTCTTTCCTTCCCCGCTGTCACTTCACCGGAAAGAAGTTCCTTCTAATTAGATAAGGGATATGCTTTTGTAATAGCAATTGGATGCTTTCTCAACACGGATTCTAAAGCTTATTCACCATCAAGCGCGGTAAGAGCTGCTATTTACTCAAGAGCGAGGACCCCTTAAGTAGAAGGACAATAAAGATATTTTTTGTTTAATTGCTCCCGCTTCCTCGCATTTGCGCTCGTCAAGCCAACTTTCCTTTTTGGGAGGTTAAACTGTGGTTGAAGCGGACATTTCGAAATGACAGCTTCGAAGATTTATATATTATTATACGGTCACGGTTATCCCGGACTGCGTTCCGGAAAAAGTGGCCTACTTGAAATGAAAGAAAGGGCGAGCACTCTTGTGTTTCAACCCCACTATCACTATACTTTGAATTGTTGTGGGGCATTGTGTACTTACAGCCTCTACGATAAGCAAGTGAATGGGGTCGGTGCATGGAGAACGGAACGGTTCATCAAGCCATTTATCGCCTCAAACCCCTAAACTAAATAGGAAGAGGGGTACTTTACAAAAAGGGGGTAATTGCTTCGCACCTGACTGTGATAGCCCTCTCGATACCTTATTGCAGCTTTGTTAGTAGTGGTTGTGGCCGCTTTCCCATCGCTAGAGCCTTTTCCCAGTGCGCGGAGACCCAACGAGGAGGGTGTTAGTGGTTTATCATTGGGTCAATAATGCTAATCCCTCTTTATTTTTGTGCTACTCCTAGGGCGGGAAGAAGATAAGAACGCGCGAAGCGTTCTATTGGTTTCCCAACTTGTTGCTTCTAAAGGCTGCCCTCTCTCGGCTGGATGTTGGTCCAGCCTACTACGAGGATCCCGTATCCAGCAACCCAATCTAAAAAATGGTATAAAAAAAGGCCTTTTCTAGGTTGGAGCTATGAAGCTTACCTTATTATGATGTATGAAAAGGCCTTTCCTTCACGGGCTTACTTAGTGCTTGTGCTAAGGAGAAATAAAACGGATGCACTAAGGTTGATACTCGACCCAAACAAGCAACGGCGAGCCCCTATCAGAGAAAGCCTTGGTCAAGCGCGCTAGCACGCTTTACTTGGAGGTTCGCGCATCCTCTTGCTGGGAGAGGGGCTAATGCCACTCGACTGGTTGGAGAGGGGTGAAGTGAGAGTCAGGGGAATGGGCTTTTTCAGCTGGTGCGCTAACGCGCACTTCCGTTTTCCCTTTACTAGTAGGGGGTCCCGTGGTCCCTATACCGCCGCGTTTCCCGGTCCTTTTCTTTTAGTGCTTCGACCCGAAGCGATAACTTCTAGCTAGTTCAGTGGATAAGATGGTTGCGCTCCATCTCACTCAAGAATGGGACGGCAGTGGTCCGCCAACAAGCTCGTTCTGATCTTGGATGCAGTACATTGGAATTCTGAAGCACCACCACGAATGCTACCGCGTGTTCGCCTGCGGTGCGGTAAGGCACCACCCTGTTGTGCCAGCAGCCAACTCCGGCGTGTCAGCTTAGTTATCCTCATCAAGCCACTTACTTGATGTCTAGCTTTCCAACTGGTAGACGGTTCCTTTTCCCCCAGATCAATGAAGAAGGGATAAGTCAGTTTATTCTTCCGAATAACGGGAAGCGAAGCGCTATGCCGTGGTGGGGGGACGAGAAAAGAAACGGCTCCGAAGAAAGAAATTGAGATTCCCAATGCTTCTCCACGCCCAACGAGATGCGCCAACCTCGGGATGCTTTACTCCTAACCTCACTAGGTTCCGAGACGGAGCTTAACCTGAGTCTCGGTTAAGAACGACGATGATCTACGTTTCACACGGCGCACGATTCCATGGATAGTTTCATTCGACATCGTGATGGAGGACATAACTTACGATCATCGGCTTTGATCATGCCACTAGGCATTTTATTAGTACATTGGAAAATTATCTGCAGACTTTGTCGCATCTCTTCAATACGGATACAGTAACGATCATAGCGATCTCCTCTGGTACCTACTGGTACGTTAGGATCCGATTGGTCATGAACATCGTAAGGTGCAGCTCTTCGCGAATCCCAGCATACCCCTAGTTGGGATGGGTAGGCCCACCACTTCACTTTCACTTAGGCCTGGGCTAAGTCAGTGGGGGGACCCTGTCGGGCTCCTCCCCCCCCCCCCCCCCCCCCCAAAAAAAAGACAAATTGTACGTCAGAGTTTCCCTTCATACGACTCGAATCATTCTCAAATGCCCCGAGAGGCATCCTTTCCTTGTTTGTTGGGTTGCGCGCAAACGAGCACTAGCCACAACCGCAGGGAACTATGACCAATAGAGTCAGACACTTAGCTAAATCCGCACGCAAAAGGAATGTGGTTCTGGTTGAGGCTTTATTTCCTTTATTAGTCTTGGGGGCGCGGGACGTTCGCGGAGTCCGTGCCTTCCGTACCACCACAGGACTGGTCGTTCTTGGGCGGATCCCGCTCCTAAACATAAGGGATATGGGGGGCCTATCATATCAAAAGGGTTGTAAAAAGAGAACTCGGCTACCTATTTCATTCGATGTTCCGCCCGCCCGATTCGACCTACTTTTTGATAACAAGAAGGCGGCGAGCTTATCTGCTTTGATCAAGGAAAAAGCCCAGTCAGCCACCAACTCAGTGCAGGTCACGTGACCTACAACTCGGCCTTCTCTTTTTGAGACTTCCTCTACCCACATCTCTATGTGCCCGCAGCACTTCCATATGGAGAATGATAGGCTTACCATGTTCCATCAATAGCACCTAACCTATGCCGATTTTAGCGGACTACAATTAACGGTTCTTCGATCTATTAGGGAGCCTGGTCTTTACTCTTTTGTATGGTATTCATTCTCATTTGGATCTTGGAATCAGATCCAGCAGTGGTTGGAACAGCTCGCAAAATCTAACCACTTCACCTACTTCATTGCCCCCAACCGCATCTCGTACCTCTATTGAAATAGAATGGTTTCATGTTCTTTCATCGATTGGTTATTCCTCTCCGTTCGTATCTCTTTTTCCAATTGCGGTGTCAATGAGTTTACAAGATTGAATGGCGCTGGGCCCAGAGTTGGTGAATTTCTACTTCAAAAATGAAATGAGAGGCCATTCAAGCTCTGACACTGTATGCATACCAGCACCATGGATATTTTAATAAATCTATTGAGTAAGGGGGCTGAAATTAAGTGCGACCAGGTCTCTGGCCTAACAGACCAAACAAATCTTGCCCAACTACAATCTTTCAAAGCATGGCAAAACGTCCTCCCCGTCTGTCCCACAAATAGGGCAATTTGTGATCCCTCTTTAGAATTTAGCCAGGTTCGTTAATAAGCGATCCCTTCTCGCCAGCTATAGGAAATGCTTAACACGATTAGAAACTCAAAAAAAAAGTAATAGAAGTCTAGCCGGTCGAGCACCACATAAGGAGACAATCCTATCAAAGCGAATAATCCAATGACTTCCCCTTTTTTTTACTTATTCAGGCCTCTTTCGGTTGCTATCTAGCTTTACCAAATGAAGTTAGTCAGCTTCCTTTTCCGCTTTAAGACAAGTAGCTAAGTCGTCTTAATCCAGCGACGAAAACTCTTGCGCTAGGAGAAAGGCTCAATCCCCTTGCTTTGTCTCCCCTATCTCGTTAGCCGTTGCTTTTTCCCTCGCCAAAACCTAAACTAGTCCTACTCCTACAGCTTGCGCCAAAGATTCACTACCAGCTCTTTTACCGCCTGTAGTTGACTGATTGGAGTCAGGAACTAGATTTTTGAATAGAGCCCTTTCTTTTGTCTTTACTTGACCAAAATAAATTATATTCCTTGACACTATATATAGTTAGCTGAAACCGGAAAGGCCTTCAAACAATCCCGTACTCCTGGCTCTAGCCCGCTTCACTGCATGAAACAAGCGGTTAGGTTAGACCTCTGTCTGGCATTTCTTCCCTGGAGACCTGTCCCCCCAACATTTCCTTTTGGTCTTAAGAGATAGACTTGGCTCTCTTATCTTTCAATCTGGACTTGCATGTGTTCCGCATATGACTATTTCGAGTGATTGCTGCTATCTGGCTTGAGTTAGACAAGCAGAGAAGGATCTTATGCCACCGCTGATCGGCCTGTCTATCTAGTATCTAGTACTAGGACTAGTAGAGTAGAGTAGAGGCACTACCGGGCGGGGCTTCCTCGATCACAGCTTCTCGCTTAGCTAACTGCCAGACAAGGATGCAAATCAACTCCTTATATAGAATAAGGTCGACACATTCAATGAAGCAGCCAGTCTGGCAGACAAGCTACTTTCTGATTCTAGGACTGGCAGATCCTCTATCTATTAGCATACTCGTACCGGCAGTTAGACTAGCACTCTCACCCGCAGTAACCGAGAGCTGACTGTCTACCTGATTCAGTCTACTGGCAGTGAGTGCCAGACTATGAGATAGTCTGGCCAGTGCATCCAATCTGATACCAGGCAGGAAGCTTATTGATTGTATCCCCGTCTGCTTTCCTTAAGATCTACAGAATACGTTATAGATGAGCCTGCCAACTGTTCCACCGGAGCGGTTTGGTTTAAAGTCCCATCCATAGGGAGTGTCGACAGAACCGTCATACACCACTTATTAAGGGGATGTAAAACACGCGGGATAACCAAATTACCTATGGCAAATATCCTACGCCCTCTATAGACTGACCTAGTCGGCCGAGGCTGGGCATAACCTCATCAAACTCTGGACAAGGATGTCTGACTCTAACAGCTTCCTCAAATGCAGAACAACCTATCTGCGAGATGAGTTCGTTGTTAGGGTCAAAACAATACCTCGTCCAAGGAAACCACAACGCACCTAACCAATTAGCTTGTTGACGCCCACGAAACTTATTCCAAGACTCAGCAAGTTGAAACCTTGAATGGATTTCAAAGGGGAAGGCTCGGAAGACAGATGGAACTCCTTTCTTACGACGAGAGCCCTTCAACCGGATAGGCTTCATCTTAGATGGTGTGGCCTTCCAGGTCGGATCCCAAGTCATTCCTTGTAGCAAAGGAATACTAGAGATAGACGGAACATACCTTTGCAGTAATTCTTTAAAAAAAAAAAGAATTCGCAGCATCGGTAGCCAAGGCCTTCACATTAGAAGGGGGAGTAGAGATAGAAGAGAAAGTTGATCTATCCACTTTCTTAGCCAATTAAAAAATATTTTCTATAGTAAAGAAAGATACAACTTAACTACTATATATGCTCGATCATCACGCCTACGGATCACCTTACGGTGAAACGGGGGAATGATCCTTGGGAGTCCCGTCCTCGTGAGAGAGATAGGAACAGATAGTTCGGTCAACCTCTTAGGGTGAGTAGAAGAAGAATAGTGCATAAAGCATGTTGATGCTTGTTTACAGTAAAGTGCAACATACAGCCACCCTGATCGACGGCCTAACTTTACTACCAGTTTAACCAGGTGATGAACACCAAGACAGATTTCTATCGTTAACCCACCGGTAACCACCAAAGGAATCTTCAAAAGAACCTTAGTTTAGTAGTAGGGTCTTTTCCAAAATGCCCTTGCTTTTAAGTAACACTCGAAATCACTGATGTCGAGTTCAATCAGAGTAGCTTACGGACTTGGAACCTCTGGATGAAAAGATTGAATTACTTCAAAGGGAGGGGTTTCTCGGCGAATTCCGGGTATTCAATCTCTTTTTTCGGACTTTGTCGGGCTCTTTCCTTTGAAAAATTGCCTCCAACAAGCTCTTGAAAGTCTTTGACTAAGCCTCCTTCCCGCTCTACTGGAAACTTTCCAATATGCTTCGAGTGCCTTAAATATAAATAAAAGATAAGAGGCAGAGGAAATATCGATTTTGATGGAAGCCAATTCAAACGCTTCGCCCCTATTCATTCTCTAAAGTAAAGGTATCGACAGAAAGAAGTCCCTAGCTTCAGAAGTGGCAGCAGTGCTCTCGTATATAAGAGAAAGGCTGCTTTTAGGAGTGATCCTTCCCTCTAACCGCTAACTCGAAATAAAATAAGCTAAGAGAGATGTGGCAAAGAAAGAATTTCAAGAGGTGCGTCGAGAAGTTCCATACCTTCTTGATAGAGTCCATAGCCTTGCTTGTACT